CTACATATAACAGAACGGCCTTGGGCCCACATATAACACAATTAAACATGCAATTTCACACCAAACATATAATCACACATATAATAAAAGAATTAAAGCAAAAAATCACACATATAATAAAAGAATTAAGGCAAAATATGGGGTAAGGTTATCACAGATATAGTACAAAATTGGATGCAGGCTCCAAAGGTTGGGCCAAAAAGGGAAATAGAAGGTCGATCCAATTTTGAATCTTCACCTTTGCGTCACATAGTGGTGAGTATTGTTTGGATTGATTTGGTTTAATCGTAAATGAAGACCAATTTATTACTGAATGGTGCATCAAATTTGAAACCAAATCAATTTATGAAAATCTTAAAATCAATCTGAACCAAGTACTAAACTACGGTTCGGTTTGGTTCAATTTGGAACAATGAATTTTAAAAATATTATCATTATCCATAATATGATTACAAAATATTATTCGCAATCTAATAATTGTTTAAAACAAGTTATATCACTATACAAAAATATAGTTATAATAGTAGAGAGTTATAATATATATATATATATTTGATACTAATAAAATATTTAAGTATTTACATTAAATTATATATATAATTTAAATGGTCTGTTTCAGTTCTAACTAGATTCATAACTATAAAATCATGGATCGAACCGTAAATATTTTAAAAGGAATGGCTTGTCTCATTAAAATTTTACTTGGACCAGACAGTTGAGGTCTTCCGCTCAAAAACTTCAATTGTTTAGTCCAATTCAAAGACCAGCCAAATTCTATTTGAAAAATCAAAATCATCAGGCAAAACCTAAATTTGATCTGATTATCTGAATTCGAATGCTCTATTAATTCGAATCCGCATAACCCGAATTAAAATGGAGCAAATTCGGATATATCTGATCCGGTCTGATGGTTTATCCAATTCAATTACATTGTTTCATGAAAAATGTTATGGACCTTAAATAATTTATCAAATTTTCTACTAAACTTTCACATATGTGGTTCTCACATAAATCCATATCTGTGTGAGTCCCACTCCTATATAAGAGATTTGGTAGAAAATTTGGATTTGGGTCGCTAGCATAGCTCTTTGTTTTATTTTACATAGTATTGATAACAGAGAAGAGGAATATTGTATATTAAATTAATCAATCAAAAGCTGAGTACAGAATATATAATCTAATAGAATAAAACCCTACTAACCCAGAAGACTAAACTCCCTTAATGAATAATATAAAATACAATTCACACCCCCCCTCAAACTGAGGATGTGAGCACAGAAAGCATTGAAAGTTTGCCAAGAAGAAAACGAAAACGAAAACGAGAACGAGCAACAGTGTGAGTCTTTGTAAAAAAATGGGCTAACTGAAGAAAGGAGTGAACAAAAGGGAGAGTAATAGTGCCAGCCTGAAGATGCTGTCTAACAAAGTGCCAATTTATTTCAACATGCTTGGTCTGCTCATAGAAGACTGAATTATGGGTAATCTGAATAGCACTCTGATTATCACAATACAACGGAGTTCGATCAAAAAGAGAGACCCATATCAGAAAGAAACCACCGAAGCCAAACAATCTCGGAAGTAGCATGAGCCATGGCATGATACTCAGCCTCAGCGGTGGAATGAGCAACAGCAGACTGTTTCTTACTCTTCCAAGAGATGAGAGAATCTCCGAGAAAAACACAAAGACCAGAGGTGGATTTGCGATCAGAGACGTCACCTACCCAATCAACATCAGAATAAGCATTGGCACGAAGAGTCAAGTCCGAAGAGGCAGATAACAGCAGGCATTGCAACAAAGTGCCACGAAGTAAGGCAGCCTAGTGTGTAGAATGAGGAACAGAAACAAACTAACTGAGAATGTGCACAACATAGGAGATATTCGGACGAGTAACGGTGAGATAAACAAGGCACCTAACCAACTCACGATATAAAGTGGGATCCTCAAGAGGAATCAGAAGCAGAAAACTTAGCATGCAACTCAATAGGAGTGTCGACAATTTTGTCATTAGTGAGATTGGCATGAGAAAGAATATCACGGGCATATTTAGTCAGAGAGAGAAGATACCCAGTAGGAGAAATAGCAACCTCAATACCAAGAAAATATCGAAGAGACCCCAAATCCTTCATTTCGAACTCCTGAAAAAACTGATGCTTAGCCTTCTCAATTGTACTATAATCAGAGCCAATGATGATCATATCATCCACATATAAGAGAAGGAGAATAAGGCCAACAGAAGTGCGTCGAAATGCAATTTTCAATTTAAAGACATCTATTTGCTTATTGTATTTTTTTATTTTTTTTTGGTTGATGGTAATTTGGCTTGGGAGTTTGTTTAGTCTTGCAGTTAATCTCATTTTTACTCTTATCTTTGTATTTTGATTTGTCCCAAATCTTAAAAACAAACCTCAAGTTTGGATAATTCTTTTTATTTAGATGGGTATAAACTGTCAATGTTGTATAGGGGTTGCATTTTTTTTTTTTTTTTTTTTTTTGGTATTGATTTAAAAAAGTCTCTCTTCTTTGTCGATTCTAAAAGAATTCATTCTATTGTTCCCTTTATCCTTTCTATTTGGTTCTCTGCGAAAATGAGGAGAGAGAAATAAAATGAAAAACCCTTTAAAACAGAAGCTATGTTTTTCAGTTTATTTAAGATTCAATTGTACTCTCTTTGCAACAATCAAATGTAGCTTGTTTTCTTTTACTTACCGCATCGCTAACCCTTCACCAATTTTTCATCTCTATTATCAGAATCTTATGATTCGCAATTCGATTCACAATTTTTGCAAAATCGATACAAATCTATAGGTGAATCTATTTTGAAAGTGAATTGCACGATTCACGATTCGATTAACTTTTTACGATTTTTGAAATTATTGTGTCCGACATATTTTCGACTATTTTCTTCTCTATCTTTTTAGTAAAAATGACATAATACAACTTCTAATAGCGTTTACTACCATAATAACCAACATATACACATGATTTGTCGTTATTTTAATGATCATGGAGTTTTTAATATGATCCAATCAGATTTAGTCAGGCCCAATACATTTTTAACCTTTCTTCTCATTTTTTTTTCCCTTTAAAAAATTATAATATATCTTCTAAAGATGTTTAAAATTAAAGTTAAATTATGAATTATCTATTGCTATTTTATTAAATTGAATATTACATGTGTGAGGTCAATTATGCCTTTTAAAATATTTTAGGCTTTAAAATAAAAGAATCTAAATAATTCTTTCTTGTGATTTGCTCACTGTTACTTAGAAAAATATGTAGGATTATTGTCCAAATATCAATATCGTTGTTAATTATTGTTTATTTTGAAAATTGATAGTTTGTCTATTTGGTTATTACATTTATTAAGAATAATTGATAAGAAATATCTAAAACAGAAAAAGGTAAGATGATGATCTTACATAGGAACTTTTGTTAACTTCTTACCTATTAAACTACGTGATTATCATTAAAAATGATATTTTCATTGATTTAAGTCTAAATATTTTATATTCATAGGATATATTTAATATGTAGATATATTGGTATGAGGCCAATTCGTTTCAAGATACGAATCCCAATTTGACAACTATGAGTAAAATGTTTGATTTGATATGAACTACTCCAATATTTTGCATCAAAATCTTTTTAAAAATTCTTCTCTTATCCCAAATTTCCCTTTTTATCAAATTTGATGGAAAAAATCATCCCCAATGCTTCATCTTTTTAAATTTTCATCAAATTCAAATTTGATGAAGGATTTGACGAGTTCTCAATTTTATGAAGGAAAAAAAAAAATGATTCTCCCTTGATTTTGGAGATGGTCTTATGAGTATGAAATATGATGAATTATTGTAACATGCTCTGTTATCAGAATCTTACGATTCGCGATTCGATTCACGATTCGATACGTAATTTTTGCAAAATCGATACGAATCTATGAGTGAATCTATTTCAGAAGTGAATCTCTAGTGAATCGCACGATTCACAATCGATTCACGATTCGATTCAGTTTTTACAATTCATGCAATTTTTGAAATTATTGTGTTCGACATATTTTCGACTCATTTATTCCATCTTTTTAGTGAAAATGACATAATACAACTTCTAATAGTATTTAATACCATAATAACCAACATATATATATGATTTGTAATATATCTTCTAAAGATGTATTTTATTGTAATATATCTTCTAAAGATGTATTATACAACTTCTAAAGATGTATTATATTGTAATATATCTTCAAAAAATTGTAATATATCTTCTAAAGATATTTAAGATTAGAGTTACACTATGAATTATCTATTACTATTTTATTAAATTGAATACTACATGTGTGAGGTCAGTTATACCTGTTAAAATGTTTTAGGCTTTAAAATAAAATATCCTAAATAATTCTTTCTTATTATTTGCTCACTCTTACTTAGAAAAGCATATATGCTTATTGTCCAAATATCAATATCGTTGTTAACTATTGTTACTTTAGAAATTAATAGTTTCTATTTGGTTAATACCTTTATTAAGAATGGTTGATAAAAAAATCTAAAAAAAATAAATAAAAATAAAGGTAAGATGGTGATTTTACATAGGAACCTTTGTTAACTTCTTACCTATTAAATTACGTGATTATCATTCAAAATAATATTTTTGTTGATTTAAGTTTAAATATTTTATATTCGTAAGATACATTTAACATCTAAATGTGCAGATATATGTTTTTAAGTGATTTAGAAAAAGTGATCGAATCTTTACGATTCGCGATTCGATTCGATTCGCGATTCGGTACGAGACCATTTCGATTCACGATACGAATCCCGATTTGACAACTATGGTAACATGGTGTGGTTTAATGCCTTTTCTAGTGGGAAGATATAAAATGTACTTTATTCATGATCTGCCTTTGCTTATTGTGTGGTTGCTTTTGCAGGGTGGGAAACAAAATGAAAGTTAAACTCTTACGTATCCTTCTTATGATAATTTATTTTTCCTCTATGAAATAAATGCATGCATCTCCTTATGTGTCATTCTTCCGATTAACTTCTCGTGTATAAAAACTCTTGCAGATTAATATTGTTGAAAGGAAGACAATTTATATGCATAAATTAGATACCTTGTTTGATATAAATATGATGGATCATGTCGATAAATCCTTTAACATAGGTTTATTCATGAATTTCGATAATGAGCTTACTTTCGAAAATCAAGAGAATATAGAAAAGTGGTTTTTGCAAAATTGTGAAGGCGAACGACTACACATGTGAGCTCATGGAATTGGGGGTCTTTATTAAAATTGATGATTGCTAAAAAATTTTGGCAATGGTTAAGACCTATGTTACACGGACTCTGGTGCGGGTACCGGGTGCGTATCTAAGGGTCAGACACCTCAAAACTAAAAATGAATGATACGTGGATATGGATCCAAATTTGGATACGGATACGGGGATACGTCAAATAATTATTTCTTAAATATATATTTTTTATAAACATGAGTTAAAAAGTTGACCCAATAATTTTTTTTCATATAATTTATGGACCAAACATATAAATTAGCTATATAATAGCCCATGGTATTAAAAGATTTGTTGACCAAAATTTTAATAGGCTCAAAGTTTAGTAGGCCCAAAATTTTACTTATCTAGTTCAGCCCAATTATATTTTTATAAAAAGAATAAAATAGAGAGATGAAATATAATAAATAAAGAATAAAAGAGAGAGAGAGGGGGGCAGATCAAAAGGCAGATCTGGAATAGAAGAGAGAGAGAGAGAGAGAGAGAGAGAGAGAGACGTGACAGAGAAAGAGAGAGGGGCTTACAGTTGTGCTCGTCGAAGACGAAGACGAAGTCGAAGTCAAATGGCGCCAGACGAAGTTGAAGTCCACGAAGACAAAGTCGAAGGACGCGAGCTGGGGGATCGAAGTCGGCGACAGAGGGATCGATGTCTTGCCCTTTCGAAGTTGGCAACAGGTTCTCTCCTTACTCTCTTCTCTTTCGTTTCTTCTCCTGTATCCATTTGTACAGAGCTGTATCCCGCACCTATACCCGTACCCGTCTCGTGTCGTGTTGACATGGGTACCTCTCAAAAAATGAAGAGTCCGTGTAATGTAGGTTAAGACACTTGGGGTCTTTCTTCATCTTGGAAATGAAATATGATTCATCACCCAACAACTTACCCTTTTAAGTAATATATCTAAATTTTGAGTGTGGAAATTGAGAATATTTCTATAAGTTGTAACCACCCTGACCAGCATACTTTTTCCCATTCCCTGCTACCATGAGTCCTTGTCATCTCCTAAGCCCCCATAACCATAAGTAATTTCTGAAGATTAGTCATCTTGTCCTACTCCCCAGCATCTTATCCTACTCCCCAATCTTGCAAATTCATTGTTGACCCGATATCCCAAAATATAACCTGAAGCTGTAAATAATTGGCTACCGTTGCCTCTCTATTCACAGCTTGGAGAAAGATGGCTAGGAAAGCTGTCTCCAATACCTCATCTCCTCACCATGTATGCCACCAAAAAGTCACCCTATCCCCTCTACCTACCCAAAATCTTACCAACTTCACGAAATCCTCCCAAACAAGCCAGATACACTTCCACAAGCCCCTCCCATGAGACATAGACAGCTCCGAGGAAGTCTAGTCACCCCATTTACTTCCATATTTTGCCATCACCATCCTCCGATTTCTTTCCCGCTCACAAGCAAATTTCCACAACCTTTTACCCAAGAGAGCTATTGAAAATACGTAACCTTGGGAACCCTAACCCGTCTTCCTTCACTAAGGTGCACAATATCCCAATCCACAAGATAGTAATTAAACTCCTCTCGCATACTTTTTATTATACATTTTTTTATTGTGTATTATTTAATTTGCAGTTTGTTTTGCAATTGTCCTTTCTCTGTAATGATATAGCATGAGTGGTTTATTGTGTTTAAGGAATTTCATTCTTTAATCTACCAACCAGTTTTGTGCTAATAAGTTGGTATAGATTTTGTTTAATTCAACAATTAAAACTTTTTGCCATCATCACATATTTTGAGCTATTTGCAATATCAGTTTTCTCTTGACCTATTCCTTCGTGAAACACTATTGGGGGCTCATGAATAGAGTAAGTTCTCTTTAGCGATTTTCATGTTACTTGTTGTATGAACTTAATATGGTAAGGGTTGTAATAGTTTCACTTCTCTATTAATTGCAGGTGGCATGCTGTTGCGTCATGGACTTGGGATGCACAAGATGAAACATGTGGAATATGTAGATTGGCCTTTGATGGTTGTTGTCCTGACTGTAAACACCCAGGGGATGATTGCCCACTAAGTAAGTCAATGCCTTTAATTAAATCATTCCCTGCACTATTTTTTCATTATTTGCAGATAATTTCTCATTTATGTGACTGGGATCTAGGAATTTAGTGGCTTCTTTAATGGTTTTCGGTCTCTCTGTGCATCAACCAATGAATCAAATTAATTTTCTGTAGACTGCATCTAGCTGAGGCCTTGTGCATGCTTGCTTGGACCTTGAGCCTACTGGGATACAGTTAATGCCATTTTCTCAATGGTTGTGTGAGACATCAGAAAATTCTTTGAGGTTCAATTTTAGTGCAAGTTACGTGATGATTAGTGAATTATGCTTGAGGTGTGCTAATTGTCAAGATTAAATGTGAAGTGTTATTTTCCCATCACTTAAAATAAAGTAAGGAAATTAATTCACTATTTTCTTTCTTTTTAATAAATTCTTTTGGACTTGATGCTTATTCATATGGACAATACTTGAAAGTCATCTTGTTATCTAGAATTTTCCTAGCAGATGTATTGCTGATTTGAGAATGTTGGCCTGTAATATAGTTTTTCGTGACATCTTCAGCACTTTTTGTTGATATTGGATGAGGATGCATTATTTGTTATCTTTACCTTTTCAGCTTGGCGATTAAAGCAACGGACATGGACATAGACAGACATAGACATGGGGCATGTTGATTACAAAAACGGGGGGGGGGGGGCAAAAAGGGGGGGGGGGGGATAATTTTTTTTTACATTATTATTTTGCTATTACAATCACAAACAATCAAAATTAACAAAAACTAACACTAATTCAATATATATAACCCACTTCTAAGAATCATGGACATAAACATGTGACATGACACGGACATGTGGACACAAATTTTCAAAAAATGCAGGATACGACAAGTTGGAGACATGTGCAAAATATATAATTTTTGGGGAACTTACGTGTAGGTCCTAATAGGTGGACTTATTGTCCAATAGGTCGTATGAGAGTTAATGGCTTTTTTTATCAAACACCATTAAAAACGTCACTAATTGTTAATTTTCAATGGTAGTTTGAAAATTGTCACAAAAATTGTCACTAATTATAAGTTTTAGCAACCGTTTAAAAAAATCATCACAAAACAAATTTTTAACTTTCAGCGACAATTTGAAGAATTTGTCACAGAAAAACGTCACTAATTGTAAGTTTTAGTGACAACAAATTATAAAAATTGTGACAAGAAAAGTCACTAATAGTCAATTTTTAGCGACATGCAAAAATTTGTCAAAAAAAAAAATTTATTTTTGACGACAATTTTACTAGGACTTATTTTCAATAGGACTTGATGGGCATTAAGTTCAATTATTAGAACCTATTAGTAGTTTCTCCGTAATTATTATTTTTATATACTTGTTATATGTAATATTTTTAAATATTTAATATGTATTTTATGTCAAATATTTAATTTTATCAAATTTATCAACCTTAAGTAGGCTATTTTAGTAAAAATATTAAAAATTTTAATTTAAAAAATAAAAATAAATAGTCCTTAGCATGTCCTTAACGTGTCCCTAGAGTGTCATCAGCGTGTCCGTCGTGTGCCTATTTCCAACACGTGTTGGACACTTGTACGTGACTTCTGGAGAGATGTCCATGCTTTGTAGGCCCACTCTTAAGTTGACTCTTATTGGTTATATATTTTTTATAGATGATCTATTAACTATGTCAATCTAAGCAAATGTAATAAACTTTCAATATCCAACATTCATACAAAGCACTAAAGAAGAGAGGAAAAAAAAAACTAGTTGGCCTATCCCCGGCATGTCACCGTGTCCGACACCACTACATCAACTGTTTTGGAGTGCCGGTGCCTCATAGATGGTTAATGTGAACATAGGCTATACTTTTTGTGCATATATGTGTTGGGTGAGTGGGCAAGTGCTGCATGCTTGTGTGAGCTAGTTCTTGTGTGCATAAACACTCATATGCAGTATGATAGTTCATGAGCCCGTGCAAAACTAATTGGGAATTTTGTCCCATTGTCTCACTCTGATGTTTGAGTGTCTTTGGTAAGCCAAGCCATGAGTGTGTCTTCTATTCTTGCTCTTCGTTGTTTGGCTGGATAATCCTTGAGTAAGGATAGATTGTGCATTTCTTATGGCCAGCCATGATTTAAATACAGTCTTTGAGGATGGGCTTAGGCGAATACCTGTATGCCTGAAATTTGGAAGACGTGCCAGAACCACAGAAGGATGCTGGATTCATTGGTCGTGTGACAAAGGTCACTTCTAATGCAGACATGGAAGCTGATTGCTATGACTCCACAAACTAATCCAAGCTTGAGCCACAGATGCTTGAGAGTTAAGAGCCTTTTTACATTGCTAATGTCACAAGGTCACACATAAGCACAAAGGCTTGTCACCCACAAACTCAATTGATTAAAATTATAAAATATTAAAAATCTGCTACTTTTAAGGTGATATGCTAGATCTAAGCGCTGAAGATTGATATTTCTAAGTTATTAAATGGAGACACTTGGATTCCTCCAAATTTTATAGGCACCCACAAGTGGGTAACTTTGCAGAATATGTCTACAAGAAAGGAGCAAAGCACCCAATTTACAGAGGCAGGCATAAGTAATGTTTCCTTGAGTGGAGCTGAGCTTTATTCGTTCACTTATGCCATGTTTGGATGGCAGGCATTAAAGACAATGAATGAGAATCTCATTACTATTAATATAATTACTCTGTTATTCGAATGAAAGTTGTTACCTTAATTTTGTACAATCATATCTGACAAAGTAAAAAGTATACCATATACGACGATATAAGGTGAAACCTTCACTTATAAGGGACAGATATTTACTCCTAGTTCTCTTTCCATTACAGTTGTTAACATTTGGCAAATATTGATAAAACTTTTGTGCTAATTTATATGAACCTGCTAAATTCAGAGGTGAAAAATTGCATGTAAGATATAGTGGTCATTATTCTGATTAGATGTTGGACATTTTTCTTTTCAGTACTTTTACTTGATTAAGAGTATGTCCTTGTACGGTTGTACCAGGTGGTTTTTAGGTGGTAGATTGGGACTGCAATTGAGTTTTTTTTAGTATTAGTGAAGTTTGTTGATAAAATTAATTCTTCAATAATTATGGTTTGTTTTGCAGTATGGGGTGAATGCAACCATGCGTTTCATCTTCATTGCATCTTAAAATGGGTGAATTCACAAACTCCTCAAGCACATTGCCCTATGTGCCGTAGAGAATGGCAGTTTAAAGGATGAAATCAAACTGTTGAATTTCTTTTTCCCCAGCCTCTCTCTCTCTCTCTCTCTCTCTCTCTCTCTCTCTCTCTCTCTCGCGTGTTCCTTTATTTACTTTTTCTCTGTGGATCATGTTAAAGAAGCGTGACTTGGAGATGATTAGTGATTTACTGATCTTGAAAGTTGATTTCGTACTCTTTTGCACCAACTTTTAGTGTTATGCCAATGTTCTATATTAGCTGGTGCTGTTTATATGTAACAGCTGGTGGGTTTAGCTCATAACTGCTACCCCAAAAAAGCTGAAAGTTGTGTATTTTCCGGCTACACAGATATGTGTTTGTTTCAAATTAGAAAAGCTTACACGTATGCACACAATCGTGGTTGTTTAGACATTTTGCTTAAGCATTTGGAAATTTTCTAAACCAACTGCTTGTTTTAGATGGTGATGTAAGCAAGGTTTTTGTGTTTGTGCTTGTGTTGCCTCCACATAATATTCTGGATATGGATATAGATATGGATATGACTTCAAGAGCTAAAGGAAGCCCCCCACAGTGGTATGTCATCTTCTTTGCGTGCTGCATGTATGCTTCAATAGGATGGTTTTGTCCGAAGGCATGCCAGCTGAAGAGACGAAGCGCTTCAACGTCATTAAACTCCTTAACCATGGATACCTCACAAACTTCGTGAGGCTTTAGCAATCGGTCATGCCTAGTTGTAATGATAATTTTACTTGCAGGATGAAACCAGTGTCTCATTCCAAATGTTGCATGTACTTGGTTGAATTCATCCACATCATCTAGAACGACGAGAACATTTTTACAGCTTATAGCATCTTTAATCTTAATGATTCCCTCATCAACATTGTGTGTTTTTTCTACTTTCCGCTTAAAAATATCAAAAAGAAGCTGTCTTTGTAAACGAACCAAACCATTGAATTGTTTCGTAGTTTCTCTAACATTTGCAAGAAAGCTGCTACCTTCAAATCTATCAAAGTTTCGATTATAAATAATTTTTGTAATGGTTGTCTTCCCTATTCCACCCATTCCACATATCATCATTATTCCAACATTGTTTGACCTATCTTGTAACCATTAATTAACGTCTTTTACACGAGATTCTATACTTGTTAGGTAGGGAGTGACACTCAAGACTGTACGATCCAATTTATTAGCAATCTCTTGAACAATTATCTGGATAAACTGTGACTCATGCCTATGAATCATGAAAAAGATACAAAAATGGAACGCAGTAACCATGCTATGAGATCAAATGAGACAATAACTTGCATGAAAAATTATATGACTTGATTTTAAACATTGATGGTATAATATAATCTCTAGAATGTTATATGAGATTGATATGAAACTGGAAAAATTACATAATTAGAACATTTGAAAAAAGAAAAGAAAGAACCAATATCAATAGACTGATGTTGCAACTCCAACTTGCATCAGCAATAACTATAATTTTCATTAGGATGTGTTGTTTTAGTCAGCTCTAAAATGAAAAATAAAATTCAATAACACAAAGTGTTACAGTGCTTACTGTTTAATATTTTTTGTAGACAAAATAGGACTCCCTAGTAATGGGTTGACATGTCAGGTTGAGTAGGCCTCGTTTGACAAGAGGCTATTTTAGCCAATTAGTCAAAAAGTTACTAAATTAGTCAAAAAGTCAAAGATTCTCTTTTCTCTCTATTTTTTGCACATCTTTTCGTAATTAGCCAAAAAGTCATCCCAAATATACAAGTTTTTTTTACCTACCTTTTTAGCCAAGTAGCCAAAAAGTTACTAAATTAGCATGTTCCCAAACGAGGCCTCAGTGTTGTGATTTTGAAGATTAACAAGAAGCCAATAAAATCATTGCTCCATACTCACAATCTCGCATAGGTATATATGAGCTTATTGTATCAGTGTTTGGACACATGTTTTAAATTTCAAAATAAGTACCTATTTAATGATTTATCATTCTTGGATGGTTTTGTGTTTGAAAACACAAGAAAAATAGGAGCAAGAGCCAAAATTCTGAGGGCCTCACTCGAATCCCACTCAAGCGGAGCACATGAGTTGCAGAGGAGAAATCCGATCGAGGTTCTTGTTCTAACTTCTAAGGCCTTGTTCATTGTTGTAGAAGTAAAATGGCATTTCATAAAAAACTGTCTAACTATTTTAAAGAAAAGCATTTATGCTTGTTGCCTAAGTAACAAAAATAGGAAATTTACCCATCAGCTTGATTTTGTAGGACCAAACCTCCGAGATCTGCAACTTCTCTGAGTGCTGTCCTCCACCCTTCCACCTTCTCCATCCCATGTTTCCCTTTTCTTTCATCAATTTCCACCCCAAATTGAGCTTCATGCCGGGAAAATGCTTCACCAACACTTCCAGTTTGCTTCCTAACATGGGATGGATCTATACCATAGAAAACTGGTAAAATTACATGTTTGAAGCCCCTCCGGCACTCGAGGATCAGCACAAGTTCATCAAGGCACTATTGCGAAGAAGCATAGTCTATTGAGAATAATATTATTGAACTCCTTAACTCTTTGATTGCCTTAATAGCATCATCAGATTCATCACCATGATCATCATCTCTAAACGTGTGAAAACCTGTACCAACCAAGGCCGTATAGAGGTGTCTGAAAGAGTCTTAAAGGTGTCTTCAGCGAAACTCAAGAACACATGATAAGAACACCAAGGTGTGGAAGAGGATGCCTCGGCAGCCATTGAACAGAGCTATTAATTCCCAACTCTTGTGACAAATATGAAATGATCACTCTTGCTGGATTCTTTGAACTAGCACTTATGTGTTTCACACAAGGAGAAGACAAGAAGGCAGGAACAAAACATTGAAATAAAAAAGAATAATTGGAAATCAATCGGAACAAGTGAAAACAATTGTAAAAAAATAGAGATGCAAATGAACATAACATTCTATTAATACAACAAGAATTGCAAATTAGCGAGAACAAGTGAAAATAATTGAAAAAACATGGGAGCGCAAGTGAAGTCTGTGTTCACAATGACAACTATTCATTAGAAATAGAACACCCAATGCACGAGGCTCCTATTAAAACGGGAATTGGGAAAAGTATGATGTACACATCCTTTAATTTTTTTACCAAATACTGTTGTTTTAAAACAGAATTCTCAAACCCAAGCAATTTTAAACTTAATTTTCTCAAATGCAAGTTTTTTTATGATAAAAGGGCCTAGACACCATTTCAGCTTTTACAACCAATTTATTTTTCCATTTAGTATAGAAATTCATGTCAGAATCTTTTTCTTTGAATTGCTTTTGAGATAAAGCTAAGTTTGACCTTCACATTTTAGCCCACTAATTTTATGAATTACCCAATCTACCCCTCTTCCCATAACTCCATCTAATGGTGATTAAAATGGGTGTATTTTTTTTAAAGCTTGTGCAAGCCAGCACTCAACTTGATGTTAGGAATCAGCAACACCTCACTAGAATCAATTAGAAACAAACAAATGCACAAAAAAGATAAATCACACATATTAACCCAAACTAGGGCTACATCCACAGTTGCTATGGTCGGGGATGGATCCAAAATTCAAGTTTTGTGGGGGCAAAAATACATGTAACTTCTAATCGAGAAGTTTTCATGAAAAAGTGCAAAACACAATAGCTATTTCTACAACATGAAAAATTGAATAATTTTACCCTTATTAGATATTCTTTGTCAACACAGTTGAATACAAAAATATTATCGTATGGTTGATCATATTCTTTTCTCTACAATAACTCAAAAAAATAGTAACAATTGTTATATGTCCCTATCTACCAAAATTAGGCATCTTTCACACTTTTTCGTGATATAAATAAGAAAAGTATCAAATTCAATAAACTTAATTTCAAGAATGTCATGTCAAATGCATACACATGCCCCTTGTCAAAGGATGAACAAACAAGAATGGATGATAAAACAATGGGTATCAGTAAATTAAAAAGAATATTATAATAAATTTTATCAGTTATTTCTGTTCTTGTATCTAAAATTGAATTTAAGATTTCACTCGAAGAGCAGTTCTCACTTTGATTAAATCAACGATCTCTTTTTTCTTTGGTTCAATCCCTTTGAAAATAGTATTATTTTAAGAAGAAATCTCACTACTCAAACACAAAAGATATTTTCATATAACTAATATCACACGCATTACACAAGCATATCCTAAGGCAAAAATAAACAAACACGAGGACTAATATTACATAAAACTCAATTAGAAAATCATTTTTAAAGTTGCCATATAGTTAATTCAGGGTGCGGAAGCTTATAATTGTGAACTATTTTACTAATTACCAGTACAATCTATGAGTTTTTTTTTTCTCAAAATTTTTGGGGGTGTACACCCCTCTCTAGATCCGTCCGTGGTTGTGGTTTTCATTATGAACAAAAGAGATAGCCACCTATTCTGAACTATATTTACATTGAAAATAAGGACAGACAAATCACATACGCAAAAATTCCAAAAATACTTCATTCCGAAATTCAATTGAGGGTTAGTTGGTGTCCAATAGTTATCAGGATCTACACTACCCCACCTCCATTTATTCAAAATTCATTGACTAGTACATATAAAAACATATGAGTAACCCATACCATTTAAAATATTTTATCATCAAATGTTTATTGCAACATCAACGGAGAAAGTACACTTTTACTAATATCCCTATCAATTAAAGCTCAGATCAAGGTAGAGAGAAATAAGCAATTAATATACCAAGTCAAGATGGGTCAACAGCAAACAAATAACCAATCAGATGAAATTAGCCTATACAAATGGAGATAAGCACATACATAAATATATATATATATATATATATGGAAGTGGGGTTTCAGCATATTGAGGAGGTGGGAGTGATAGATGTAGAAAGCTGACCTGGATTTTGCTGATGAAATAATCCTTTTAGTATTTGGGTGTTGTTTGATCACATACCTAAAATTTTAACAATTATGTGTTGGGTTGTGTTTACATATAAAAAATATTAGTAGTGCTATATCACACAATTTCTCTCCCTATAATCCTTAATGAGGTGGCAAGAGAGAATACATGTAAGGAAAATTTTGAAAGAATATTAGAGTGTAAGTCAACTTTTCAAATTTTACATGACAGGGGATTTGGGAAATAGAGTTGATGGAAAGAGAAGAAATGATGGAACAGAAAAGAAGAGCAGAAAGTGTGCGTTTGTTGTATGCCTCAGTGATATGTAATGTTCCTTTGGTATTCATCAATAAAGAAGGGTTTCCCTTTTTCTTTTTTCTTTTTCTTTTTTTGTCTGATAAAAAAAAGATAAATTATATTGGCACAGGTCAAAGGAAAATATAGTAAATTTCACATTTTTAACATAATTATGTTAGATTTTCCTAAGATTCTAATTCACATAACATTTAACTCCTTTTTTTTTTTTTTCAATAATTCATTAGTTACATAAATGAAAAACATTGTATTGTCATCGCCTTTCTTTAACATTAATAAAAGAAAAATTAGTGTTATAATGCCAAAATTATAAAATTATTTGTATTTTCTTTGAATTTCAGGAAAGGTCAGTATAAGCTACCCTAAAAAATTTGTGTTTGCAAGGAGAACAAGTTTAAAGGAGGAAAGTCTCAATCTCTGAATAGTTAAAAGAAAATTGTAAACCAGTAAAAAAATTGTGTTTGCAAATGAGAAGGCTTATCAAGTTGTGCCTAATTGGTGCTTGGAAAGGTGGATCTGTATATAAACCTTTATTGACTTTTATTTAGCATGCTTGGTACTACCAATGGAGGTTGGCAGATACAGTTGGGAAGAGGGAAAGTTAAGCTCTTTCTTCATTATTTTTTGGTACTACCAATGGAAGTTGGCAGATACAGTTGGGAAGAGGGAAAGTTGTGCTCTTTCTTCATTATTTTTGTGTATGTGTGTTGGGAAAGTGAGACTTATCAAATTGTGAATGTAACTTTTTCCTTTTTGGTTTGTTTGTCTTATTAAACAGAATTTTTGTAGTTGGTGGTGCGTAAATCCAAATGTAATGATATAAACAACAAATATTAGCTTACTACTTTTTGTTATTAAAATATATAATTTGGCGGAAATTTAAAGAGTGACTAAGAAAGAATAAACAACTAATACTTTATGTTTTGTCTGCAAATTTTGCTTAGATTTAATGTTTAGTGGTGTGTTTTGTCTACCTGTATTTCTTTAGTGTACAAAACTTGAAAAGAAGTCATGATTCTATGGTGTTTCTATCTAATTCACAGAATGTCAGTTGCATAACTCTTAAACATGAAAATTATAATTATAAATGATTTCTGGTTCATTATTAAAGGGGTAAGAAGTTTGAAAATCCTAAGTGATTCGTGATTAGATCAAGATTAAAATATTTCAATTCTCAATTATTCAAAACATACAATCTAAATCATCAAGCACTTATGAAAGTGATTTAGATTGTTATTTCGGAATAAACAATAAATCGACACAAACAATTTTTATATGGAAAAATCACAATTGAATTTACTTGGGTGAAATGTCTATAGTTTATGCCTATGGATGGTGAACTTGGCTTGACAATGGTATTGGTTTTATCCAAGTGCTACCATACAGTATCCTCTTTATTTGAACAACATTTGTGGTTATTGTTGATTTGTTATTGTAGAACTTATTATTGTCTCACTTGTAGAGGTTGTCTACAAGCTAGTATGTAACAGTTTGTGGGGGGGTTTAGGTATCACACCTTTAGTCTGTTTTCAAGATTTAAAAGGATAATTGACCCCTGTTGCTTTTCTTTTGGAGTGGTAAAATGGCATGCTTTTTGGCCTTTTCTGGCTGCTGTTTGTTTTATGAGAAATCAGTAAACATGTTGGGAAAACAGCTATTTGTTCCTGTACTTCTTCCTAGTTTACTTTTATTATTTTTTGAACACTCAATTGAGAATTTGTATCTGTGGAGATCATATGATATGCTTGTTTTAATTCCTTTGGTTTTGAGCATTTCTTGTGGATATGGATGTTGGGTGAATGGCAACGTTAAGTTGGATAAGCTTCCACCCCATGGAATGTGTTTTTTCCTTAAGTACATGGAAATTCATACACCTTCACCCCATTTTGAGGTGTGTATCATATGTCTAGTTATGACATTTGTAATTTTTAGTTATGACTTATTGTGATTTGATTATTATTCATTGTGATATTAGGTAGAATTTATTGTGATTATTATTTTGATTATAATTGAAAATGTTTTTAATTATACTTTGAGTGGTGTTTAGTTATGAATTATTATTATTATTATTATTATTTATAATTTAAAGGGATTTAGTTATGAGACTTGTTTGTATTAGAAACTCTTATCTGGCTTACTTTGAGTGGTGTTTAGTTATGAATTATTATTATTATTATTATTATTTATAATTTAAAGGGATTTAGTTATGAGACTTGTTTGTATTAGAAACTCTTATCTGGCTTACTTTGAGTGGTGTTTAGTTATGAATTATTATTATTATTATTATTATTTATAATTTAAAGGGATTTAGTTATGAGACTTGTTTGTATTAGAAACTCTTATCTGGCTTACTTTGAGTGGTGTTTAGTTATGAATTATTATTATTATTATTATTATTTATAATTTAAAGGGATTTGAAGCAATATCAAATACCTTTTGTCTCTCCCAAAATACATATTTTAATTAAAAAATAAAAAATTATTATAAAATTATTACAGTACTCTATT